AGCGCCTCCTTGGTGAGCCCGGCAGCGTCCTGGAGATCCAAGCGGATATCAACGTGAGGAAGGAGGACCTCAAGCGCAAGCGCCAGGAGAACCGCCCTTCGAGATCCCGCTCGAGGAGGGCGACGTGAAGCAGGACGGCGTGGTGCTCCGGGGCGAGGTGGGGCGGGAAAAGCTGCGCGGCTTCCAGGGCGATGCGGTCTTCCAGTTCGGGCGCGTGCATTGCCGCTTGGTGGAGCTCGGTGCGCAGGCCATGCTCCAGCTGGAGCCCTTCAGCGCGGAGCAAATGGAAAGCCTGCAGACAATGCTGCAGAATGGGTTTGAGTGCAAAGTGCTGGCGGTCACCAAGAAGGCGGTGGTCGAGGCGCGGCTCAATCCGAACGGCAAGGTCCGGGACGTCGCCGCCGACAGGATCATCTCGGCCGCGAGCCTCCTGACACTGCGCTTTACCGCGCATCGCTTCAGGCCCGTCGAGTTCCTGCCGGTCAAGGTCGAGACCCAGGCGCCCTCTGAGGAGGAGAATGAGTCCGAGGCCGAGGTTCGCGACCAGGAGCCCGAGGCCGTGTCGGCGGAGGAGGAGCTCCTCGGCGAGTGGAAGATGACGGTGCAGGGCAGGACCGTGTCCTTTGACTTCGTGAAGAACTCGCTCTTCACTCCCGTCGGCCCTGTCCGGGAGGTCAAAGTCGTGGGCCCGGAAGCTGTCGAGTTTCTGGCCAACATCGCTGCTGGGCCTCAGAGCCCAGGTTTCCACCGCGCGGAGCTTCAGCACATCGAAGGGGACCTCTTCTGCATCCACCCGAAGCTTTGGAGCCAGGAGGTCACGAGGTTACGCGCTGCCGCCGAGGAGACGGCTGCCTTGGACGACGACCTCGACGAGTCAGCGGAGAAGCCCGTACCGGCTCCAGCAGAGGAGTCCCGCGAGATCAAGGAGCCCGAGCCGGTGGAGGAGCCTGCTCCGAAAAAGACGCGACGTCGGGAGGACCAGCGCCGGGTGCAGGGCTTTGTGGGCGAGGTCCACGGCGGCTGGCTGGAGCTCTTTTTGGATGACGAGGTCTGCTATGACGATGCCCGTGACTGCGTGGTTTCTGGCCTCCTGGATGGCTGGGTCAGTGACTGCGAGATGATCCGGGGCGAGGAGGTCACGCTGCTGAAGGAGCTCCCGGAGTTCGGGCGCCTCAAGGCCGGTGCGAGAATCAGGGTCCAGCTTCCGTCGTTGTGTTGGCACAAGCCCATGGCCGAGCCTTCTGAGAAGCCGGGATCCGATGAGGGCAGCACCGCGGTGCCCGAGACCGAGGAGGACACCCAGACCGACGGCGACGTCGAGATCGTGGAGGGCCTCAGGGTGCGCAGGGTCGGTGACTGGCTCGAGCTGGCGGCCCGGACCTTGGATGAGTACGAGGAGGCCCTCAAGATCCTGGCCCCCAAGCTGGAGGACCGGACCTTCGCCGAGCACAAGCTGAGGTGGGGCGAGAACCAGTGGGCCTCCGAGCTCTTCGAGATCAACGCTCGTACCGGCAAGCTCTTCCAGCGCAAGGGGCGAAGGTCCGTGAATCCGGAGCAGGCCAGGGTGCGAGTCCGCTTGAGTGCCTAGTTTTAGTTTTGTTGGGGGCCGTTGTACAGCAAAGGATCCGCACAGAAAATGGTTGCGC